ATTCATCCATGCAATCTTCATCCAGATCAAGAAACAGAATATTACCAGTATCCCAGAAGATCCTCAGTATCCCAGTGTTCTCTCCTACTCTGTACCTCCTCAAGTGTATAGTTAATATTATTTTTAAAATTGTACTTTAAGTTCTGGGATACATGTGCAGGAAGTGCAGGTTTATTACATAGGTATACATGTGCCATGGTGGTTTGCTGCACCCATCAACCCGTCATCTACATTAGGTATTTCTCCTAATGCCATCCCTCCCCTACCCTCTACCTCCTGTCGCCCTCAGACAGGCCCTGGTGTGTGATGTTCCTTCCGTGTCCATGTGTTCTCACTGCTCAACTCCCACTTATGAGTGAGAACATGTGGTGTTTGGTTTTCTGTTCCTGTGTTAGTTTGCTGAGATTATGGTTTCTAGCTTTATCCATGTACCTGCAAAGGACATGAACCCATACTTTTTTATGGCTGCATAGTATTCTGTGTTGTATATGTGGCACATTTTCTTTATCCAATCTATCATAGATGGGCATTTGGGTTGATTCCAAGTCTTTGCTATTGTGAACAGTGCCACAGTAAACATACGTGTGCATGGGGAAAAAAAAAGATATCCTGTCTCTTTGATCATCATTTATTCTATTCTGCTTATCATGCCAAGAAGTCATTTCAGCTAAATTGTAGTTAGAGAAAGGAGATAAAATGATAAAATGTAAATCAGTTTATTTCACTAACTATTTGTAGGTTTAGCTTGTGGTGTCTTTGGTTTTGTTTTCACGTGGTGAATCGTACATTTATTTCATTGGCTAATAATTGCCTCCCCTACCCCCACCCCTCTAGCAACTTTTTTGCTCCTTTTTTTCCAGGGACTTGCCTTTCTCTGTCTCCTACAGCATGGAAGCAGTGCTGTTCCTACAGTATGATCCTGCCTCCTGCCCATAGGTAACAACCTGACTCAAGTTAGCTCAAAAAGAATATGATTAGGTCCCATTTGTCTATTTTGGCTTTTGTTGTCAATGCTTTTGGTGTTTTGGTCATGAAGTCCTTGCCTACACCTAATCAAACTCCACAGCTTCTGCACAGCAAAAGAAACAGTCATTAGAGTGAATCGGCAACCAACAGAATGGGAAAAAATTTTTGCAGTTTACCCATCTGACAAAGGGCTGATATCCAGAATTTACAAAGAACTAAAACAGATTTACAAGAAAAAAACTAACAAGCCCATTCAAAAGAGGGCAAAGGATATGAACAGATACTTTACAAAAGAAGACATACATGAGGCCAAGAAACATATGAAAAAATACTCATCATCACTGGTCATCAGAGAAATGCAAATCAAAACAACATTGAGATACCATCTCACGCCAGTTAGAATGGCGATCATTAAAAAATCTGGAGACAACAGATGCTGGAGAGGATGTGGAGAAATAGGAACACTTTTGCACTGTTGGTGGGAGTGTAAATTAGTTCAACCATTGTGGAAGACAGTGTGGCGATTCCTCAAGGACCTAGAAATAGAAATTCCATTTGACCCAGCAATCCCATTAGTGGGTATATATCCAAAGGATTACAAATCGTTCCACTATAAGGACACGTACACACGAATGTTCATTGCAGCACTGTTTACAATAGCAAAGACCTGGAACCAACCCAAATGCCCATCGATGATAGACTGGACAGGGAAAATGTGGCATATATACACCATGGAATATTATGCAGCCATCAAAAACGATGAGTTTGTGTCCTTTGTAGGGACATGGATGAACCTGGAAACCATCATTCTCAGCAAACTGACAGAAGAGCAGAAGATCAAACACCGCATGTTCTCACTCATAGGCGGGTGTTGAACAATGAGAACACATGGACACAGGGAGCGGAGCACTACACACTGGGGTCAGTGGTGGGGAAATAGGGGAGGGATGGTGGAGGGTGGGGAGCTGGGGAGAGATAGCAAGGGGAGAGATGCCAGATGTAGGTGATGGGGAGGAAGGCAGCAAATCACACTGCCATGTGTGTTCCTATGCAACAATCTTGCATGTTCTTCACATGTACCCCAAAACCTAAAATGCAATAAAATAAACAAATGGGGGGGGAAAGCACTAATTAAGGACAAAAAAAAGAATATGATATTAGATTGTAAAAAAGAACAGTTACTTACTAATTACTAAACCTCAACCTTGCGTGCTGTTGGAAGCCATGTTTTCTGTCACATGGGCCTGTAAACAAGAAAAGTAAGGGGTAGCAGGGGGAGACAGACAAAAAGAGAGAAACAGAGGAAAGGGGAGAAGAAGGAAGGGGAGGAGGAGAGGGAATGGTGAAGCAGTTTCACATAGATAAGCAAAGATGAAAGTTGGGGAGAGACTCTTGACTGACTTAAATTTCCATCTCAGTTGCTCTTGAGGAAGCTGTATCTGTCCTTGTGTTCAGTGAGATAATTGACTACCTATGCTATAGTCCCCCCTTTGTTTTCTACACTAGTCAGTTTCAGTTACTGTAACCTAAGGAATTATACTTATTTCATCTAGACACAAATAATTTAATTGTTGGGTAAAGTCATAGGCATTATATCTAATTTATGATGTTCTGCTATCCATAGAAAGTTCATATTTTTTATTTATTTATTTTATTTTTGAGATACAATCTTGCTCTGTTGCCCAAGCTGGAATGCAGTGGTGCAATCTTGGCTCACTGCAGCCTCGGCCTCCAGGGTTCGAGCAATTCTCCTGCCTCAGCCTCCTGACTAGCTGGGATTACAGGCTCCCGCAACCATTCCCAGCTAATTTTTTATTTTATTTTATTTTTAGCAAAGATGGAGTTTCACCGTGTTAGCCAGGCTGGTCTCGAACCCCTGACCTCAAGTGATCCACCTGCCTTGGCCTCCCAAAGTGCTGGGATTACAGGCATGAGCCACCATACCCAGCCCGTATTTATTTTTTAAACTGACATTTAATATATAAGTCCAGGTCCTTTTAATAGGTTCAGTTTACAGAAAATCATAGGTAAGCTATTGTTTTCAGAAAACTAATACATTAAATCAATTAACACAAATATTAATTGAGTATATACTTCTGAAGGATGTGTAACAGAGAAAGGGAAGGAGATACTCCAAGAGAGTTAACAGCATGAAGAAAGGCAGGGGAATATAACAGTGAACATAACAGTGAACAGTATGCCTTATGGTACCAGAGAGCTAATTGTGAAGCATAAATATGATAAACTCAGATGCCTCCAAGAACAAGTTGGGAGAATCTGGAATTCCAGTATTTATGGCTGAGAGCCGAAGGCAGAGAAATGCTATTTCATTACTATTTTTATGGCCTTTTTTCTATCTTTATTTTTTCTGGAGAAATGCTCCACTGCGATGTTTTTAAAAATTTAGATATAGGCCAGGCATGGTGGTTTGTGCCTATAATTCCAGAGCATTGGGAGGCTGAGGTGGAGGGATGGCTTGAAGCCAAGAGATTGAGACCAGCCTGGGCAATATAGTGAGACTCTGTCTCTACAAAAATAAAAATAAAAAATTAGACTGGCATAGTGTTGTGTGCCTGTAGACCTAGCGACTCAAGAGGTTGAGGTGGGAGCATTGTTTGAGCCCATGAGTTGGAGGATGCAGTGAACTATGATTACACAACTGCACTCCAGCCTTGGTGACAGAGTGAGACCATTTCACACACAAACACAAAATCTGGTTATATAGTTATCTTCACACACTCAACTTATATAGAAAAGAGAATAATATCACTTCCCCTTTAGCCAAATCAGGAGAGATTCTTAATAAACAGTTAATGTATTTCCTAGATATGCTGCATAAATTATACCTTGGGTAAAAATAAATATTTTTTTAAATCTTTGTACTTTATTTCAGTGTTGCACTACAGATTTATTTTTGCATTTAGCAGGTTCTTCTGAGTCTTTGGTGTTAATGTTGCAACATCATTGGTTATCTCTATGAATAGTATTCTGGAAACAAATATTCAGTTGACATATTAAGAACTTCTTTCTTGTCAGTAACTTTAATTAACTTTACACGTATTGTATGATTAATTCCTTCAGCAACTCTATAAAGAAAGCATTATTCTCATGTCAAGACTGAGAATTAAAATATGAAACCTTACTTAAAGCCACACTCTTGACAGTAGAACAAGAATTTAAACTGTTTGTCTAACCTTCACTGCTTTACTGTACTGCAGTCAGGAAAGCCATTAAAAGTGTCTCAGGTCCATCAAAATTTCAATGTTGCTACATTTGACTCCTTTCACTGTTCTGAGATAAGATTCTCTATCATTCATATTTAGTGGAAGCATCAAATTCTCTTTATCATTCAAGGAAACTATTTGGGCAATACTTCTATCCTGAAACTATGACTGCATCCCTTTCACTCTATCCAGTTTTTTTTCTTTTTTCTCTCTTTCTTTTAAGACGGACTTTGCTCTTGTTGCCCAGGCTAGAGTGCAATGGCATACTCTTGGCTCACTGCAACCTGCCTTCCAAGTTCAAGTGATTCTCCTGCCTCAGCCTCCTGAGTAGCTGGGATTACAGGCATGCACCACCACGCCTGGCTAATTTTGTATTTTTAGTAGAGACAGGATTTCTCCATGTTGGCCAGGCTAGTCCACTTTTTTATAGTCTGAAATACATTTCATCATACCTGCTTTTAATAATTATTCATCAGGAGCTTTTCCTGAAAAAAAATCTCTGAAATATGAATTTTGTCATTTCCTCTCATGTTACTTTCAGCAAGTTAGAGATGGCATTATAATAATCAGTAATTGCAAGGCTTTGGATAAACCTCATGGCTATCCTGCCAACACCATATAAATAATACATTAAAATAATATAATGTATTTTTATTTTTGTAAATGAAGAGTTTCACTCTTCACAGCATTCTATCACATCCCATTTTATGTGGATCTGGTAAAGAGCAAGGGTTTCCTTTTTTTTTTTTTGAGACTGAGTCTTGCCCTGTCTCCCAGGCTGGAGTGCAGTGGCGCGATCTCAGCTCACTACAACCTCCCCCTCCCAGGTTCAAGCGATTCTCCTGCCTCAGGCTCCTGAGTAGCTAGGACTACAGACATGCACCACCACACCTGGATAAGTTTTGTATTTTTAGTAGAGATGGGGTTTCACCATGATGGTCAGGCTGGTCTCAAACCCCTGACCTCGTGATCCCCCCGCCTTGGCCTCCCAAAATGCTGGGATTACAGGTATGAGCTACCACACCTGGCCCAAGAGTTTCAAGATAGCAGATTGTTAAACTGTAATATTAAATGCTACCCTTATTTACATGACTCAGTTTAAACTTTAATATTAAATGCTATCCCTATATTACATGACTTATTTAATAATGTTATACTCTGAAAGTTAAGAATCTGGGGCTGGGTTAACCCAGGGAAGGAGATGAATTCCAGAGTGAAGCAAGGAAGCAGAAAAATAATAACATAAGAAAGATTATCACATTAGAAAATAATCTCTTTGTTGCTTTCCAAGGAGGCAGGAACAGAATGGGGAATAAAAAGAAGTATTTATAAAAAGCTGTAACTGGTAATAAAAAAGCAAGGCACTTAAGTAGTATCCCAGAAGCCACATTACTTTAGCTTTGCAGAAATTAGGAAATAAGCAGATAGGGAAATGGGGAAGAAATCATGGTTCAGCATCCCAATTTTATTGTCAAATATAATTTTATCTTGGCCACTTCCTTTTTTAAAATGCTGTTGGATTACACAACGTTAATTACAGGATTTCCGGAGTATTCAGAATGCAGTAAATTCTGTATTCCTAGCATTTTTTTTTTAGATGTGGCAAATATTTGTTGGGTTTTGGCTGCCCAATATCTTGTTTTGCTTCTGGCATGAGATTTGCTTTTAGAATTAACATTTTCCCCTTGGATATAATCCAATTGGACAGAAATCACATGTTCTGTCCTAACTAAAGGTTCAGAAACTTAACACTGAACAAGTACTCATAGAGACTTCATTATCTGGGCTGTGTTCTCAGTGATAGATTTTTAGCCTTAATTATAGTTAGGTATTTCACACAAATTGTGCCAATTAGATGTTATTACCTTGTAATTCGATCTTGAACAAAGTGACAAAGAGAATGTATTTATTTCATTGGTGATGTCTTAATGCTTTAACCAAGAAAGTTTTATAGTTCTTATAGATTTGCTCTGTTTCCTGAGTTTTCTCCAGTCTTTCTATAGATTCTTTGATCTCCTGTTGACCTTCCAATACATTCCTATTGCTTAGTTAAAAACCTTGCTGATTAACCATACAATCTTACTCTCTTACCATTACAACCCAAGTCTTGATTTCTCATTGCCTTCTCAGAGGTGGTTTCTGTACCTAGCAACAAACTCCAGCAGATATAGTAGACCTTCCACATGCAGTCAAAGGGAAGCCAACAATTTATTTATTCAACAAAAATATATGGAGTACTTACTATATGCTGGACACTATTGTCAGAGATTTGAGTGGTGAACAAGCAAATCTTGGCTTCTTTTCTCAAAGAGTTTATAGTCTTCCTGACATCATGGTGGCTAAGTGGTATGTTACCATTCTGGGAAGAATTTGAAACCAAGAATATAAAAGAAGAATGCATGTCAGGAGTTCGAGACCAACGTGGGCAACATGGTGAAACCTCTTCTCTCTCTCTCTCTCTGTCTCTCTCTCTTTCTCTGTCTCTCTCTCGACAGTGTTTCTCTCTTTCATCCAGGCTGGAGTGAAGTGGTATGATCTCAGCTCACTGTACCCTCTGCCCCCGAGTTCAAGAGCTCCTGCCTCAGCTTCCTGAGTAGCTGGTATTATAGGTGTGTGTCACCACGCCTGACTAATTTTTGTATTTTTAGTAGAGACAGGGTTTCACCATTTTGGCCAGGCTGGTCTCAAACTCCTGACCTCAGGTGATCTAACCACCTACATCTTCCAAAGTGCTAGGATTACAGGCATGAGCCACTACACCCGGCCTGAAACCCCTTCTCTACTAAAAATACAAATTAGCTGTGTATGGTGGTATGTGCCTTTAGTGCCAGCTTCCCGGGAAGCTGAGGTAGGAGGATTGCTTGAGTCCAATAGGCAGAGGTTGCACTGATTGGTGATTGCACCACTGCACTCCAGCCTGGGTGACCGAGAGAAGACCCTGACTCAAAAATAAATAAATAAAAGGATACATGGGGAGGGACAGAAAGAAACTGAGATGTTGTGAGGATATAGTAAGGAAAGAATATAAAGGTCATATGGGTAATTAACAGTTTTTTTTTTAAATAAAAGGAACTATATGTATAGGCTCTAATTAATATAGTTATGTTTTTACATATCTAATTATTTACCAAAGCTGCTCCGACTTTCTATTCCTGATATCTTTGCCTTAATTCAGGCTCTCCTTATTAAATATTGTGTTTATTAGCTTCCTCTAGTGCAGTGATACCATTAACCTTCACCCACCCTTCTCCTCTCTACTCCTAGCCCAACATCCACAATACACTGCATTTTTTGTGCAGCAGATGCGGGAAGGAATTCAGCTACAAATTCTCATTCATGCATCACAGAGTCAACAGTAGTGAAAACCTTTATGTGTGTAGCAAATGTGGAAAATCCTTCAGACAAAGCTCCACCCTTAGTCAACACTGGAGAAAGCATACTGGCACAAGGTGTTAACAAATGCAGAGAATACAGGAAATCTTTTACCCTAAGAAATCTCCTCACTGAACACCACAAAGTTCACACTGGAACACAGCCTCATGCGTGCTGTGAATGTGGCACATCTTCTCACCATAGTTCTAACCTCAGTGAGTATTGGACAGTTCACACTTGAGAAAGGCCCTTTGAAGGCAAAGAATGTAGGGATTGCCTTTCTACTCTGCAAACTGTTTATATCAGTCCCTGCTCAAAAATTTTCAGTAGCTCTTCAATGCTTTTCTAGTATGTCAGGCATACAAGGGACTTTAATGCCATGACATTTACCTGCTTCTTTCAATTTCATACCTTGGCACTTTTCATAGCACACTTGCGTTCTATCCCTTTGAAAGTAATCCAGGTTACTTGATGTAATCTTCTTTTCTCTGGCCTCCTTACTCTTTCAACTCTCTACCTCTAGATTAAAATTTTAGATTCAGTCGATTTTACTGTTATTATGTTGTGATAGCCATACCACAGACTGGATAGGTTAAAAAAAATCTAAATTCTACATCCAAGAGGTAGAAATCCAAAGCAATATTTGTAGATGTTGACTTTGCTTTAATGCAGATGGAATGCTCCATTCTAAAATTAACCATTGGGAAGGCTCAAGAGAAATTGTTGTTCTGCTGTAGAGGCAGATCTGAGGCTCGGTAGCACTGTCCACTGTCCAAGGAAACCTGTGCCAGGGTCAGGATAGGCACCCTTGTACCCAGGCTCCCACAATGGTCAACTGTGGCTCCTGGCCTTGTTCTGGCTGCAAAGTTAAATGGTTGCAGCCAGGCTGAGGGTCCCAGCTCAGGTGGCTGGCGTGGAGCAGAGGATACAGAGGCACCCTTTGAACTGAGTGTTTCTGTATATTTGTCATAGGCCAGGACTGCCAAGGCAGGGTTTTTTTCCCAGAACATCTAGCCCTACACTATGTGTACTTTGATCTTGAGAGACGTATTTTACTTGATCAGGAACACAACTCATTCAGAAACTGTGCATGTGTGGGACATGTATGAAATAATTTTATTTCAGGGCAAAACTTCAACAGCACCAGAAGTGCAAATGGGAGACAATTCCTCCAGAATCATTGTGGACAGGGAAGATCTGTGAATCACAGAAGCCCTTTATCTGCTGGGAGGTTAGGGAAGACTTTCAGGGCACCCTGGGATATTCCCAGCAGCAGGCCACTTACAATGGGGAGAAATCAGTCATAATCATCTAATTCAGGGCCCACTTTCACAGTAGAAAAATCATTATATATGGGGAGAGTGCCATTAGCTGCAAACACACACTTGTTCAGGACCAGGATATCCACCCTGGAAGACAACATTTTGTGTGTAGTAGATGCGGGAAGGAATTCAGCTACAAATTCTCACTCATACATCACAGAGTCAACAGTGGCGAAAACCTTTATGTGTGTAGCAAATGTGGAAAATCCTTCAGACAAAGCTCCACCCTTAGTCAACACTGGAGAAAACATACTGGCACAAAGTGTTAACAAATGCAGAGAATACAGGAAATCTTTTACCCTAAGAAATCTCCTCACTGAACACCACAAAGTTCACACAGGAACACAGCCTCATGCATGCTGTGAATGTGGCACATCTTCTCACCATAGTTCTAACCTCAGTGAATATTGGACAGTTCACACTTGAGAAAGGCCCTTTGAAGGCAAAGAATGTAGGAAATCCTTTAGAGAAAGTACTGGCCTCATTATCAGTTACCAGAATGTTCATAGAGGTGTTAAGGCTGTTGGGGGTGGGGAATGTGGGAAATCAGAGGAAAATATGACCTCATGGGTCACTAGAGAGAGAAAGACCTTATGAGTGTGGTGAATGTGGGAATCTTTTACCTGTGCCTCTGTCCTCCATTGCCATCAGAGAGTTCTTACTGGAGATGGGCCTTATGAGTATAGTGAAAGCAGGAAATTTCCTACCACTAGATCAACATTAAGTTGACATGAGAGAATTCACTCTGGAGAAAGCATTTATGAGTGTAGTGAACGCGGGAAATCCATTACCCACAGGAATCACTTCGGTACACACCCGCCAATTCACATAAGAGAAAGGCCTTAGATGTGTAGGGAATGTGCACTTTCCTGGAGGAGAGTCTCCGTGAGGAGCCTTTGGCCGACCTTGAATCTCATACATCCAAATGTTCACAATACGGAGATACCCTTTATGCTTCAGTTGTGTGGGTAGCATGTGTAGCTATCTTGTACTTTATAACCTACCCTAAGCTCTTGACAGAGTTATGTCACTGCTGGTTTTTGTGGCTGAGCCCATTTTACCTCCACCATCTGGTAGAGCCATAAAGTATGCATCAGTCACTACCCCCGATGTGCTCAAGAAAGCTGACCTTTGTGCCATCCCATTTGATTGAGGGAAGTAGGAGTACCCTGGGCCCTTAGGGGATTCTCATTCCCATCTCTCTGACTAGTCAGGGCATGAAACTGACCGATTTTTGGCTCAGAGAACAGCATATCTGTTTGGCTGGCAAGTTTAAAGGAAGGAACAACCTTTTCAAGGACATGTTAGTTTCCCATGATGCTTGTTTATGATGAATTTTGTTCAGCTCCCAAGTTCCCAACCTGCTGCACATTGTTTGGTGTGTACAATAATGAAAGCCTTACTATGTAAGTGATCTTCAATCTCTAGGCTGTATCATTGTTGAGGTGATTTTTTTTTTTAATGTGAAACTTTTAATTCCTGAATATCTCTTTAAATTTGTATTTTGGGGCTAAGATATACAAAAATAACATTTATTTAAGTAGAATTAATATCAATCAATCAATCAGTGATTTCCAGGGGCTAGTATTCAGAGAGGGATGAATAGGCAGAGCAAAGAGAATTTTCAAAAGATTGAAAATTCTTTGTATGATGCTGTAATAGTGAATACATATCAGTATACATTTGTTCAAATCCATAAAATGTAAAACATTGAGTGAACTCTAATATAAACTATGGAGTTTGGGTAATTATAATATGTAAAATGTAAGTTCCTTGGTTATGACTATGTTCCAGTCTGGTGGGGGATTTTTATAATTGGGAGGCTATGCATGTGTCGGGGCAAGGAGTACATGGGATATCTCTGTACCTTTCTCTGTATTTTGTTATGAATCAAAAACTTCTTAAAAATTAAAGTCTTTAAAAAAATAACACCCTGTCATGCTGCTGTGGCTGCTGGCTCATGTGAATGGACATGGATTCCACTGCCACCTCAATCAAGTATTTTGGTTACCAACACCTATTAAAGTGTGCCAGACATGGTGGCATGTGCCTGTAGTCGCAGCTACTCAGGAGGCTGAGGTGGGAGCATCACTTGAGCCCAGGAGTTCTGGGCTGTAGTGCACTATGTTGATTGGGGGTCTTCACTAAGTTCAGCATCAATATGGTGACCTCCCAGGAGGAGGCAAAAAAAAAAACTAAGGCAAAAAAAAAAAAAAAAAGAACCTAATATCACACTGAAAAGAACTAGAAAAACAAGAGCAAACCAGTCCCAAAGTTAGCAGAAGACAAGAAATACCCAAAATTGGAGCTGAACTGAGTGAAACTGAGGTGCAAAAAACTGTACAAAAGATCAGAGAATCCGGTAGTTGGTTTTTGAAAGAATAAATCAGATTGATAGATCACTAATTAGACTAATAAAGAAAAAAAGAGAGAAGATCCAAATAAACACAATCTGAAATGACAAAGGGGTCATTACCACAGACTTCACAGACATACAAAAATCCCTCAGAGACTTCTATAAACAACTCAGTGCACGCAAACTAGAAAACCTAGGGAAAAAATGGATAAACTTCTGGAAATATACAGCCTCCCAAGATTGAATGAGGAGGAAATTTCAATCCCTGAACAACCTAATAACAGGTTCTGAAATTGAATCAGTAGTTAAAAGCCTACCAGCCAGGAAAAGCCCAGGACCAGACACATTCACAGTCAAATTCTATCAAATATATAAAGAAGAGCTGGTATTATTCCTACTGAAATGATTCCAAAAAATTGAGGAGGATTTATTTCTTTATAACTCATTCTATGAGACCAACATCATTCTGATACCAAAACCTGGCAGATATGCAACAAAAAAACTAAAACTTCAGGCCAATACCTTTCATAAACATAGATGCAAAAATCCTCCACAAAATACTAGCAATCCAAATTTAGCAGCACATCAAAAAGCTTCTACTCCATAATCAAGCAGGCTTTATTCCTGGGATGTAAGTTTGGTTCAGCATAGGCAAATCAACAAATGTGATTCATCACATAAGCAAAACTAGAATTAAAAACCACATGATCATCTCAATAGATGCAGAAAATGCTTTCACTAAAATTCAACATTCCTTAATATAAAAACCCTCAACAATCTAGGCATTGAAGATATATACCTCAAAATAATGAGAGCCATCTATGACAAACCCACAGCCAATATCATATGGACTGGGCAAAACTAGAAGCATTTTTCTTGAGAACTGAAACAAGAACAAGGATGCTCACTGTCACCACTGCTGTTTAACATAGTACAGTAATCAGTCATGAAAAAGAAGTAACAGGCATCGAAATAGAGAAGGTTAAACTATCTTTGTTTGCAAATGATATGATTCTATACCTAGAAAACCCATAGTCTCTGCCCCAGAACTCCTAGATCTGACAAACAACTTCAGTAAAGTTTCAAGATACAAAATCAATGCACAGAAATCAGTAGCATTTCTATACATTAACAAAATCCAAGCTGAGGGCCAAATCAAGAACACAGTCCCAGTCACGATAGCCACAAAAAGAATAAAATACCTAGGAATACAGCTAACGAGGGAGGTGAAAGACCTAAACAAGTTTCTCTTGGCTTTTCAGATTGATGACATCAATAACCTTCTCACATTTCTGTATGACTAGTCTGTTTATTTGTCTTTTACATATAGTGAGACTTATTTCTGTTATCCTTAATATGAAATACTAGATTTACCTGCCTTTCATAAGGTTACATAGCATCTTAAACTTTTTCAAAGTGCTCATTTAAATTGTAATTCACTCATTTTTTAGCAGATGTTCATTGAGTGTCTATTATCTGTCAAACAGTAGTGTTGGTGGATTTAGTAGAGAATAAAACAAACATTTTAGTGGGGGAGCTCAATTATTTAATAGATGCTCATCTTCTCTGTGAGATGCAGAGACTGTACATGACACATTCAGAGCTATATGTCCAGGACCTGGCAAGACTGGCATGTAGTAGGTACTCAGTAAATATTCATTGGATATACTGTTGCTTTTAAAAACACATACAGAAAAACATTTTTAAAAAGCTTGGAGGCTGAGTGTGATGGCTCATACCTGTAATCCCAGCACTTTGGGAGCCCGAGGTAGGAGAATTGCTTGAGCCCAGGAGTTCAAGACCAGCTTGGGCAACATAGCAAGACCCTGTCCATACAAAAAATACATAAAGCTGGGCGTGATGGCATGTGTGGATGGTCCCAGCTACTTGGGAGTCTGAGGTGGGAGGATTGCTTGAGGTCCCAGGAGGTTGAGGTAGTAGTGAGCTATGATAGCACTACTGTACTCCAGCCTGGGTGACAGAACATGATCTTGTCTCAAAAAAAACCCCCAAACTCCCAAAACCTTGGAGTCATTAACAGTGTAATTGATGCTTATTGTTTTGTGCTAGACAATCAAGAAGAGTGGATTCCAAGGATCATCCTTATGGAGGAGATTCAGAAAAAGAGAAATGAAAAGGAACTAACCTTAGTTGAGTTATATTAGGTGCCAGGAACTGTACTAGATGCTTTATATCAACTATTTCATTTGTTACTTTAACAACTGGAGCTGGAAAGTATTGTTCCTCTCATTTTATTTATTTATTTATTTATTTATTTATTTATTTATTTATTTATTATTTACAGGATCTTGCTCTGTTGCCCAGGCTGGTCTTGAATTCTTGGGCTCAAGTGATCCTCCTGCCTCAGCCTCCCAAAGGGTTGGGATTACACGTGTGAGCTACTGCACCCAGACTCTATCTTCTCATTTTAAAGATGAGGGATTGAAGGTATTTTTCAAAGGTTTATTACAGGTTATCCTGGTGGCTCACACCTGTAATATCAGCACTTTGGGAGGTGGGAGGATCACGAGGTCAAGAGATCGAGACCATCCTGGCCAACATGGTGAAACCCTGTTTCTACTAAAAGCATTTTCTGGCATCATGGCATGTACCTGTAGTCCCAGCTACTTGGGAGGTTGAGGTAGGAGAGTCTCTTGAACCTGGGAGGCGGAGGTTGCAGTGAACTGAGATTGCACCACTGCACTCCAGCCTGGCAACACAGTGAGACTCTGTCTCAAAAAACAAAAATAAACAAACAGAAAGATTATCCTTTAGCTAGACTAGCAATTTCAATTGTCATTTTTACCTTTAGTATAATTTCTTGTCACATAAATTTTTATCTCTGAACTTTTCAGTGAAAGTTATGAAACTGTTTCCTTATATTTGGACTCTCCTCTTATTTTCAATTTGACAAACATTCATGTAGCACCTTCTTTAATTAAAGTGGAACATATAGTAGCTACAAATATGAGCACAAAAAAAAATACCTGCTGTGCAGGATCAAGCAGTTTCTCTTCTAAGTAGTAATAATTAATTTATATTTTTATGATTAAATTTTAAGGAATACAAACTGAAAACAACTTTTCCACAGTTCTGATTAAGCTGTGTCTTTTTTTTTTTCTTGAGACAGTCTTGCTCTGTCACCCAGGCTAGAGTGCATTGGTGTGATCTTGGCTCACTGCAACCTCTGCCTCCCTGGTTCAATCAATTTTCCTGCCTCAGCCTCCTAAGTAGCTAGGATTTCAGGTGTGCACCACCACACCCAGCTAATTTTTGTATTTTTAGTGGAGATGGGGTTTCACCATGCACCATGTTGGACAGGAGTCTTGAACTCATGACCTTGTGATCTGCCCACCTCAGCCTCCCAAAGTGATGAGATTACAGGTGTGAGCCACTGTGCCTGCCTAAACTATGTCTTTACATGCAGGTTAGAAAACTATGCTATTTAATATATAGTTGAACATTATAGCTATAATACAGTGTTGACTAAAGTTAAAAAAAAATTGGCAAGATGAAGGAAATCATCACAGAAAGTATATGGGGTTTTCCCCGATGTCAAATCATTCTGGCTTAATTAATGTAGAGAGAGTTCAGGGAGTTGGTGTATGAGGTCACCGTATGAAGTAACCGTTTATTATAAATTTGTGCCTGGAAGAATAAAGAAAGTTGGAGGTGAAACAGCAAATGCTGGAATTTTTTGAAAGACAGGTGATGGCATCTGGCTTTAATGCATGAAGGTGTTAGAGTTAAGAATCTGTATGGGCGGTTTATCGTGATGGTGGTAGTAATAAAGCAATACAGAAAGTATGTGTGTAAACAATTTTAATTGCCCTCCATTTAATTGCATACCCAAGAAAGTGTCATTTGTCTCTTTCTGTGGAGAATAAGTGCTCTCTTGTATGGTTTGGGATTGAAACTTTTATTTATATTTTGGGATGGGAGAAGGAAATGTTTCTCACATGGTATCTTTATTGAGCCAAGAATTCTCAGGTTACTATGTTAAAAATGATGAGCTCTCGAAGAAAAAGGTCATGTTAAAGCATATCTTTGTATCTCCATCTCATAAAAAAGTGACTGACATATGGTACGAACTCAATACATATTTATTAGTTTCTTAAATAATATTATGTGACACAGCTGTTATCCAAGCATGCTCTGGGAAACAGTGGGCATCTATGTGAGCTCAAAATCATCTATGGATAAAAGATTCATTCAAAGTGTGGCATAGACCAATGTATTTTAATATAACAATATGAAAAGTTTAGTTATATAGTTTCAGACTTCACCTCGCATTATACCTTTAAATAACTCACTATTCAAATTTTGATGTAGTATCAAAGACTATCTGTAATTATCTGAAAAGTCTACTAAAATAATCCTCATCTTTCCAACTACATATTTATGTGACATGGGATTTTTTTCATGGACTACAATTAAAGCAACATATTAAAATTGATTAAAGAAGCAGATTTAAGAATCCAACTATCTTTTTAATTGATACATGATAGTTGTACATGCTTGTAGGATATATGTGATATTTTGATACATGCATACAATGCATAATAAACAAATGAGGATTAATTGGAATATCCATTATTTCAAACAATTGTCATTCTTTTCTTCTTTCTTTTTTTTTTTTTTTGAAATGGAGTCTTGTTTTGTCACCCAGGCTGGAGTGCAGTGACAAAATCTCCGCTCACTGCAACCTCCACCTCCTGGGTTCAAGCTGTTCTTGTGCCTCAGCCTCCCAAGTAGTTGGGACTACAGGCACAGGCCATCACACCCTGCTAATTTTTGTATTTTTCTAGTAGAGACAGTGTTTTACCATGTTGGCCAGGCTGGTCTTGAACATCTAATCTCAAGTGATCCGCCTGCCTCAGCCTCCCAAATTGCTGTGATTACAGGTGTAAACCGCTGCGCCCAGCCTCAAAGAATTGTCATTTCTTTGTGTTAGAAATATTCCAAAGCTTTTATTCAGGCAACAACAAATTATTGTTAACCATAGTTGTCCTACTGTGCTATTGAGCACTAGAAATCATTCTTTCTGTTTTCGCACCCACTAACCAAAACTCTCATTATCATCTCTTCTTTCACCTTTATAGCCTCTGATAACTACTATTCTATTCTCTACCTCCATGAAATCAACCTTTTTAGCTCTCACATATGAATGAGAATATGCAATATTTGTCTTTCTGTGCCTGGTTTATTTCACTTAACACAATGCCTTTCAGTTCCATTCATGTTGCTGCAGATGACAGGATTAATTCTCTTTTTATGGCTTGATAATATTCCATTTTGTGTGTGTGTGTGTGTGTGTGTGTGTGTGTGTGTGTGTGTATTACATTTTCTTTATTCAGTTTCATCCATGGATACTTCAGTTGATACTATATCTTGGCAATTGACAATAGTGCTGCAATAAACTTAGGAGGGCAGACATCTCTTCGATATACTGATTTTGTTCTTTTGGGTATGTATCTAGCAGTGGGATTGCTGGATTACATGGTAGTTCTATTTTTAGTTTTTGTGAAGAGCCTTGATACTGTTTTCCATAGTGGCTGTACTAATTTATAATTCTTACCAACAGAACAAGTGTTAGATAACTTTTTATGCACCTTCCTTGGCATCTGCTATTTTCTTTTAGATAAAAGCCATTTTAACTGGGGTAAGATGATACCTCATTGTAGTTTTGATTTGCATTTTCCTGATTAGTTTTGTTGAAATTTTTTTCGTATCCCTGTTGGCCATTTGTATGTCTTCTTTGAGGAATGTCTATTCAGATCTCTTGCCCATTTTTTAATTGAATTATTTGATATTTTGCTATTGAGTTGAGTTCCTCATATATTCTAATTATTAATCTCATCTAATTGGTTTGCCAATATTTTATTGCATTCTATAGGTTGTTTTTTCACTTTGCTGATTGCTTCTTTTGGTGTGCAGAAACTTTTTAGCTTGATATAATCCCATTTGTGCATTTGTGTAATTTTGCTTTTGTTGTCTGTGCTTTTTAATGACTTACCAAAAACAATTTGCCCAGACCAATGATGTCATAAGATATGGTTACTCCATGTTTTCTTCTATGGGTTGGGTTTCATAATTTCAGGTCTTGCATTTAAGTGTTTTTTTTTTGGGTGGAGTGTGGCTCAGGAGCCAGGCTGGAGTGCAGTGGCGCAATCTTGCCTCACTGCAACTTCTGCCTCCTGGATTCAAGCGATTCTCCTGCCTCAGCCTCCAGAGCAGCTGGGACTACAGGTGCATGCCACCACACCCAGCTAATTTTTTGTGTTTTTAGTAGAGAAGGATTTTCACCATGTTGGCCAGCATGGTCTCAATCTCTTGACCTCCCAAAGTGCTCGGATTAGAGGTGTAAGCCACCATGCCCAGCCGCATTTAAGTCTTTATTACATTTTTATTTGATTTTTATATAAGGTGAGAGATAGGGATCTGGTTTTATTCTTCTGCATATGGTTATCCAACATCATTTATTGAAGAGACTGTTCTTTCCCCAATGCATATTCTTGGTACTTTTGTTGAAAATGAGTTGTCTGTGAATGCATGGATCTATTTTGGGGTTCTGTATTCTGTTCCTTTGGTTTATGTGTCTACTTTTATGCCAGTACCATGCTAATCCAGTTATAATAGCTTTGTAGTATAGTTTTGAAATTGGGTAATGTGATGCCTCCAGCTTTGCTCTTTTTACTCAGGATTGCTTTAGCTCTTTGGGAGTTTTATGGTTTCATACAAATTTTAGGGTTTTTTCTCTGTTTTTGTGAAGAATGTCATTGGCATTTTGATGAGGCTTGCATTAAATCTGTAGATCTCTTTGGAAGTATGGATATATTAACAATATTAAGTGTTCTCTACCATGAGCATGAAAATCTTTACATTTTTAAGTGTCCTTTTCAATTTCTTTCATCCATGTTTTATGGTTTTCTTTGTAGAGCTCTTTCACTTCTTTGGTTAGACTGATACCTAGAATTTTTCTGTAGCTATTGTAAATGGGATTACTTCTTGATTTCTTTTCCAGATTGTTTACCTCTGTTGTCATTTTTAAATGTTGATTTTGTATCCTGTAATTTTACTGAGTTTATGAGCTCTTTTGGTGAAATCTTTAGTTTATTCTAAGTATAAGATTATGTCATTTGCAAACACGAATAATTTGAGGCTGGGTGTGGTGGCTCATGTCTGTAATCCCAGCACTTTGGGAGGCTTTAGGAGAGCAGATTGTTTGAGCCCAGGAGTTTGAGACCAGCCTGGGCAACATGGCAAGACCTTGCCTCTACAAAACAAAAGAATAATTTGACTTCTTTCTTTCCAAGTTGGGTACCTGCCCTTTATTTCTTTCTTTTCTTTTGCCTAATTACTTTGGCTAGAACTTCCAATACCATGCTAAATAAAAGTAGAGAACATGGACATCCTTGTCATGTTTCAGGTCTTAGAGGAAAGGCTTTCAGTTTTTCCCAATTTAGTATAATAGCTGTGGGTCTGTTATATATAGCCTTTATTGTTTGATGTATGTTTCTTGTATATCCAGTTTTTTGAGAGTTTTTGCCATGAATAAATGTTGAATTTTATTGAGTGTATCTTCAACATCTATTGAAATAATCATATGATTTTTGCTCTTGATTCTGTTAATGTAATGTGTCACATTTATTGATTTGTGTATGATGAACCATCTTTTATCCCTGGGATGAACTTACTTGATTACAGTAAATGATCTTTTTAGTGTGCTGTTGAATTTAGTTTGCTAGTATTTTCTTGAGGATTTGTACATGTATGTACATCAGGATTGTCCTGTCGTTTTCTTTTGTTGTTGTGTCTTCATCTAATTTTGGTATAAGGATAATGCTAGCCTTATAGAATGAGATTGGAAGTATTCCCTCCTCTTCAATTTTTTTGGAACAGTCTCAGAAGAGCTGGCATTAGTTCCTCTTTAAATGTTTGGTAGAATTTAGCTGGAAAGACATCAGGGTTTGGGCTTTTCTTTGATGGGATATTATTGATTACTGCATTTATCTCATTACTCATTATTGGTCTGCTTGGGCTTTCTATTTCTTCATAGTTTCATCTTTTTTTTATACTTATAATTTGAGTGTTTCTTTCAATATAGTTTAATCTTTTTAGGTTGTATGTCTCCAGAAATTTATTAATTTTTTCTAGGTTTTCCAATTTGTTGGTGTATAGTTATTCATAATAATTCCTAATAATCCTTTATATTTCTGTGGTATCAGTAATAATGTCTCATTTTTTATTTCTGATTTTGTTTGACTCTTCTCCTTTTTTCTCAGCCTTGCTAAAGATTTATTTTATTTATCATTTCAAAAACCCAACTTTTCATTTTGTAAATCTTTTGTATTTTTTTCAATTTCATTTACTGATATTTTTGATATATTTTTATTCTGTAAATAATTTACTTTTGCTTGAATCTTTATTATTTTCTGCTTTATGTTAATTTTGGGTAGAGTTTGCTCTTCCTTTTCAAAGATTCTTCAAGTATAAAGATAGGTTGCTTATTTAATATCTTCTTTTATAGTGCAGGAATTTATTGCTATTAATGGTCCACTTAGTACTACTTCTATTGCATCCTCTAATTTTCATATGTCATATATTCATTTTTATTTTTTAAGGACATTTTCTAATTTTATTTTAAATTTCTTCCCTGACTCAATATTTGTTTGAATGTGTTGCTTAATTTCCGTGAATTTATGAATTTGTCCATTCCTTTTATTATTGATTTCTAGTTTCATTCCATTATGTCAGAAAAGATACTTGCAATGATTTCAATCTTCTTAAAATTTGTTAGGATTTGTTTCATGACCTAGCATGTGATCTATCATGTTGAGAAAAATGTTGAGAAGAATGCCTATTCTACTGCTCTTAGGTGAAATGTTCTGTATATGTCTGTTGGGTCCATTTGATCTATTGTTCAGTTCTGTTATTCCCTTACTGATTTTGTGTCTGGATGCTCTCTCCATTATGAGAATGAGATATTAAAGCCTCCTGCTATTATTGTATTGCTATGTCTCCTTTCAGGCTTTAATATCAGGTGCATATATAATAGTTATATCTTCTTTTTGAATTGATCCTCTTATTATTAGGTAGTGACCTTTGTCTTGTGATAGTTTTTGACTTAAAGCCTATTTTCCCTGATATGAGTGTAGCCACCCCTGCTCTCTTTTGGTTGCCATCTTTCTCCACCTGTTCACTTTCCATCTATGTGCATCCTTAAGTCTAAAGTAAGTCTCATGGAAGGCATACAGTTGGGTCTTGGTTTTTTGTCCATTAAGCCACTCTATGTCCTTAGGGAATTTAGCCCATTTATATTTAAAGTAATTGATGGGTAAACTTACTATTTTGTTAATTATTTTCTGTTATATGATTTTATTGTTTCTCTTTTCTCATTTTCTTTCTAGGTGGTTTGATGATTTGTTTTCTAACATTATGCTTAGAATCTTTTCTTTAGCTTTTGCGTTATCTGTTGTATGTCATGTTTGTGTGTGTGTGTGTGTGTGTTTACCATAAGGCACATGGTAAACATTTTATAGGCATAGCAGTCTGTTTTAAGCTGATAATGAGTTAACTTCAATTAAAGATAGAATCTCTACATTTTACTGCCCCCCTCCAACTCTAAGTAATTGATGTCAGATCTTATTTCTTTCTATATTGTGTTTCCATTACAATTTTTCTGTGGTTCTACTTGTGTGTAATGCTTCTGTCTTTTAATTTATATACTAGTGTTAAAAACTATTTATGTGCTACCATTACAGTATTACAATATTCTGTATGTGTCTTTATTCTTACCTTTACAAATGAGATTTATACTTTCACATGCCTTCATGTTGTTGTTTAGCACTTTTTAAAAATTTCAGTTCAACTCCCTTTAATACTTCTTGAATGAGAGGTCCAATGGTTACAAACTCCCTAAGTTTTTGGTTTTCTGGGAGTCTTCATTTCTGTTTCATTCTTAAAAGACAGTTTTTCTGGGCTGAGTAATCATGGTTGACAGTTTTTTCTTAGTACTTTGAATATATCATCAAACTCTCTCCTGACTTGCAAGGTTTTGGCTGATAGTGTTGTAGGGGTTCCCTTACATGTGATGCGTTACTTTTCTCTGCTGCTTTCAACATTCTCTTTGTCTCTGACTTTGTATAATTTAATTATAATATGTCTTAGTGTAGTCTACTTTAGAGTCAGTCTATTAGAAGACTTCATAAATCTGGATATTCATTTCCATTCCTAGACCTTGTAATTTT